GATGGAGTCTCATTCTGTCACCAGGCTGGAGTGCAGTGGCGTGATCTCAGTTCACTGCAACCTCCACCTCTGGGGTTCAAGCGATTCTCCTGCCTCAGCCTCTCGAGTAGCTGGGACTACAGGCACCTACCAACGCGCCCATCTAATTTTTGTATTCTTAGTAGGGATGGGGTTTCACTATGTTGGCCAGGCTGTTCTCAATCTCTGGGTATTTGACTTGTAAATTCAGAAACTAACAGTGAATTGCCACATACCATGCTAAGGACATGGGTTTCAAGCACAGGGTTGTAAGAGTGAGGTACCTCCTTGAGCCTGGCTTTGCTTGGCGACGCCCTCTGCTCCCCTGCCGCAGCAGGGCCACCATGTGGCTGAGTGGCTCTTCTCCGATGGAGTACAGCTGTGTGGGACTCTGCAGGGGTCTCTGAGCATGAGCGACTTCTAGGTCCTTGGTATCTCTCTGATCCCAAAAAAGCTCCATTTTCTGGTTCAGATGGCGATGTCTCTTCAACATCTGCAGACTGACCATTCCAGACAGTGTTGCACACCCAAAATAAAATAAAACAAGCAAGCTTTATATACCCCATAGAAACCTTTCAGTAGCCACAAGCAATGGCTCATGCCTGTAATCCCAGAACTTTTGGAGGCCAAGGCAGGAGCATCACTTGAGCCCACAAATTGGAGACTAGCCTGGGAAACATAGTGAGACTCCAACTCTATAAAAAAAATTAACTTAAAAAAATTGGCCAGGCACAGTGGCTCATGCCTGTAATCCTAGCACTTTAGGAGGCCAAGGCAAGAGGATTGCTTGAGCCCAGAACTTTGAGACCAGCCTCTACAACGTTGTAAAATCCTGTTTCTACAAACACACCAAAATTAGCCAGGCCTGGTGGTGTGCTCTATAATCCCAACTACTTGGGAGGCTGAAGTGGGAGGACTGCTTGAGCCCAGGAGGTTGAGGCTGCAATGAGCCATGACTACACCACTGTACTCCAGCCTGGGCAACAGAACAAGACCTGTCACACACATACACGCACACGTACACCCACACACAAATTAGCCAGGCATGGTGGTGCTTGAGAGGATTGATCACTTGAGCCCCAGAGATCGAAGCAGCAGTGAGCCATGATTGCACCACTGCAACAGAATGAGACCCTGTCTCAAAAATAAAAATAAAAATAAAAATAAAAATAAAAATAAAAATAAAAAAAAATATATATTAGCTAGCCTGTACGTCTGGGGTAGCAAACTAACCCTGGGATGTTGACCAACATGAAACAAAAGACTTCTCTGATGTGACTGTCATCTTAAAACATGACCTGAATTTTGTTCCTAATTCATTACTTATCCAAGACCTTTTAAATTTTTAAATTATTTTACTGGATATACTTTAAATACCGTAGATTTCATCCTTTGAAAGTATATAATTCAGTGGATATAATATATTCACAAAAGTGTGTAGCCCTCACCACTATCTAATTCCAGAATGGTTTCATCACCTCAGAAAGAAACTGCACCCATGCCTTTTTGCTCTCTGAGCAGTACCATGGCGGTTGGCAAGAGGAAGCACCTTACGAAAGGCAGCAAAAACGGGACCAAGAAGAAGGTGGCTGATCCATTTTCTAAAAAAGATTGGTATGATGTGAAAGCACCCACTATGTTCAGTATAAGAAATACTAGAAAGACGCTAGTCACCAGGACCCAAGGAACCGAAATTGCATGTGATGACCTCAAGGGTTGAGTGTTGAAGTGAGTCTTGCTGATTTGCAGAATGACGAAGTTGCATTAGGAAATTCAAGCTGATTACTGAAGACGTTCAGGGCAAAAACTGCCTGACTAACTTCCACGGCATGGATCTCACCCATGACAAAATGTGCTCCATGGCCAAAAGATGGCAGACAATGACTGAAGCTCATGCTGATGTCAAGACTAACGATGGTTACTTGCTTCGTCTGTTCTGTGTTGCTCTTACTAAAAAATGCAACAATCAGATACGGAAGACCTCTTACGCTCAGCACCAACAGGTCCACCAAATCCGGAAGAAGATGATGGAAATCACGACCCGAGAGATGCAGACATGAGTTGAAAGAAGTGGTCAGTAAACTGATTCCAGGCAGCACTGGAAAAGACATAGAAAAGCCTTGCCAATCCATTTACCCTCTCCATGATGTCTTCGTTAGAAAAGTAAAATGCTGCAGAAGCCCAAGTTTGAATTGGGAAAACTCATGGAGCTCCATGGTGAAGGCAGTGGTTGTGGAAAAGCCACTGGGGACAAGACATTGCTAAACTTGGAGGAGCTGATGGATACGTACCACCAGTCCAAGAATCTGTCTAAAGTTCAGATTATAATAGTGGCAAATAAAAAGTCTTATTTGTGATGGTAAAAACAAAACGAAACTGCACCCATTCGCGGTCACTCCTCCTCCCTCCCGCACAGGCCCCGCAGCCACCAGCCTACTTTGTGTCTCCATGGATCTGCATGGGTTTTGAAGAGAATCCTAGATCTGACACCGTCCTCATTCCCTGACAGTTCCCTCCTCTGAAAATAGGAATTATAACTTAGAAAACTAAAATAAAGGCTGAGCACACTGGCTCATGCCTGTAATCCCAGCACTTTGGGAGGCCAAGGCGGGTGGATCACCTGAGGTCAGGAGTTTGAGACCAGCCTGGTCAACATGGTGAAATCCCATCTCTACTAAAATTACAAAAATGAGCCGGGTGTGGTGCTGCACGCCTGTAATTCCAGCTACTCAGAAGGCTGAGGCAGAAGAATCACTTGAACCCAGGAGGTTTATGAGCTAAAATCGCACCACACCACTGCAC